GTAAAGGGCAGAGAGCTCCAGTCCGACTCAGACGCCAGCAAGGTGGAGGTGGAGTACTGGTTTGGGCTGGTATCATCAAAGATGAGCTTGTGGGGCCTTTTCGGGTTGAGGATGGAGTCAAGCTCAACTCCCAGTCCTACTGCCAGTTCCTGGAAGACACCTTCTTCAAGCAGTGGTACAGGAAGAAGTCTGCATCCTTCAAGAAAAACATGATTTTCATGCAGGACAATGCTCCATCACACGCGTCCAAGTACTCCACAGCGTGGCTGGCAAGAAAGGGTATAAAAGAAGAAAATCTAATGACATGGCCTCCTTGTTCACCTGATCTGAACCCCATTGAGAACCTGTGGTCCATCATCAAATGTGAGATTTACAAGGAGGGAAAACAGTACACCTCTCTGAACAGTGTCTGGGAGGCTGTGGTTGCTGCTGCACGCAATGTTGATGGTGAACAGATCAAAACACTGACAGAATCCATGGATGGCAGGCTTTTGAGTGTCCTTGCAAAGAAAGGTGGCTATATTGGTCACTGATTTGTTTTTGTTTTGTTTTTGAATGTCAGAAATGTATATTTGTGAATGTTGAGATGTTATATTGGTTTCACTGGTAATAATAAATAATTGAAATGGGTATATATTTGTTTTTGTTAAGTTGCCTAATAATTATGCACAGTAATAGTCACCTGCACACACAGATATCCCCCTAACATAGCTAAAACTAAAAACAAACTAAAAACTACTTCCAAAAATATTCAGCTTTGATATTAATGAGTTTTTTGGGTTCATTGAGAACATGGTTGTTGTTCAATAATAAAATTAATCCTCAAAAATACAACTTGCCTAATAATTCTGCACTCCCTGTACATACACACATATATATACACATACATATATCAAATTAACTGTATTTTTATATTAATATAAAAATACACTTAGAATTAAATTACACACACACACATATTGTGTATTATAAAATATAAATAAGTAAATAAACATTTTTAAATATAATATTGAAAAACATATATATATATATATATATATATATATAATTTTATTCTAACTGTATTTTGAGATATATATATCAAAATACACTTAGAATGAAATTATATATATATATATATATATATATATATATATATATATATATATAATCAAATAAATAAATATATATATAAAAATATACACACATACAAACACACACAAAATTACATAAATAATTCCATAAATATACACGTAGAGTCAAATATATATGTAATATTTTTACATAATTAAGTAATTTTATTGAATGCAATTTGAGGGACCTGCCTGACAACCCAGGCCAAAAGTCCAGAGAATTTAATTTGCTAGCACTATATTTAACCCTGTAACTTACCAGGAAACCCTAAAACCTGTACATGGGGGGGTAGTGTTTTACTCGGGTGACTTCGCTGAACAAAAACATTAGTGTTTCAAAACAGTAAAACATATCACAGTGATGACACATTGTTAGTGAACGTGACTTTTTTGCATTTTTTAACACTCAAACTGCACTTTAATTGATTATATCATTCTTGTGATACGTTTTACTGTTTTGAAACACTCATTTGTGTTCAGCGAAGTCTCCCGAGGATAACAGTAACCCCCATGAATATGTTTTATAGTGTCATGGGGGAGAGGGGCTGTAATAGGGGGATAAGATTATGACAAGAAAGCCTCAATGCAAATGGAGCACTATATTTGTTGCATAAGCAATTTGCCATCCAGATATTTAAAATGTAAACATATAAACTTTAAGTATGCAATTTTATCTTGTACCCTGCTATTAAATATGGTGTGTAAGATGCTAAAGGAACACTATATTGTGAGTAATACAAACACTATATGTAGCGTACCACGGGTAACCCGACTGGTTACCTCCGCTATTATCTTCCTTCAGCCGCTCTGGAAACATCAGCACAAGTGCTGTGGACCAAACCAAGTGTTTGATTATTTGAATATCTGCCCCTGTCCAAATTGTTTAAAATGGATGCGTGCACGCTCTGAAGTAAATCACACCAGACACAATTTTCAGGTTAATGAAAAACTTTGGAATGTTTACTTAGGGGGGTGGGAAGCCCCTTATAAAGACAAGAATACATAATATGCAAAAATGTAGATAACAGAAAGAATACATCTTTAATTGGTTAGGTGTTAAGTGTCTTATCTAACGCACATCCTACAAGGCGTGATGTCACCTTCTTCCTGGGATTTTACTCCAGATACAGGCGCCATCTTGTTACACAAGGTAGTTAGTCGATGGGAGGGGTTGCTCTTGCAGCCATTTTGAGTAAATATTGAATACAGGTTTGCATAGTAAATAGGCATTTTACGAATACTATTTTACGGCCATAACACAAGCAAAAAACCCATTCCCCCAGTAACCAGACAAAACGTAGTCCTGGGAGTCAACTGAACTGAACTTCTCTTTAATGGGACATAGTACAGCCAAGTTACTATAATTGAGTCAGGAACTGTACAAACTCAACTATCTCCCAGGTACAAAAAAACCCATATAATTTTAACACCCCCGACAAACACATTTCAATATTTCAGAAGGGATTAATTGATGGCATGGAAGGTTAGAGCTTACAACTCAAGTTCCTCTTTGAAGCTGGGACCCCAACAGAGCCACTCTGCCAAGTGTGAGAAGTTACACACAAGTGGCCTGGAAGTCTGGCTTCAGCACAAACTAACTATCCCATTTGCCATATGTCTTGATTGCATCTTAGATAGGAAATCATTTGACATGTTAATAATAATTAGCTTTTAAGAACAAAAAGAAACCCTTGTGTTTCAATATCAGATCCAAAAGATATATGAATACCAACTCACACATCAATACTCAAGCCTCATTTTTATCATATTTAGAATGGGACAAGCACCATCTTCTAATCAAGCACAAACATGATTTGTGAACAAGGGGAGATCCCCAGCATGATGACCTGAAAACAATAAGCAGGCAAGCGAGTGGGCACGGTACTCAGTGATGGCGTTCCGTCACACTATAGTTGTAAGAACACATTTTATGTCCCCATACCCTTTGCCTCCGGATAAAAAAGCCTCTGCCTCCATGGCTTACAATCAAATTTGATGATCTCAGCCAATCCAATGCTTTCCCAAAAAGCATTGGGAGGCCATTGCGCATACGCTGCAAAACACCACGCTGCATCAATCAGCATCTCCTCATAAGGATGCATTGAAACAGTATGGGGAGCATTCAGCACCTCCATGCAGAGTGTGGAGAAGCTGAACGTCAGTACTGCACTGACACAGGAAGCACCTCTAACATAGGCGTGTGCAGCCTATTGCATTAGGGTGTAAACCCTAAAGCACAAACACATGCCACGTGTGTGTGTGTGTGTGTGTATGTGTATATACACATATATATATATATATATATAAACACACACACACACACACACACATATATACACACACACAGCGTGTGTTTGGGCTTTAGGGTGCCCACCCTAATGCAATAGGCTGCTCATATATATATATATATATATATATATACATATATATATATATATATATATATACACACACACACACACACACACACATATACACACACACACTGCTGTGTGTGTGAGGGTAGTTTGAAGGTGGTGTGTGTGTGTGTGTAAGGGTGATGTTAGTGTGATGTGTGTGAGTGTGCGCTGTATGTATGTGTGTGCTGTAAGTGTGTGTGCGTGGGTGATTGTGGGGGTACATTACTTAATATCCCCCCTCCCTTGTTACATTATGCCAGGGAGGGGGGGATCCTTTTTTCCTTCCCTGGTGGTCCAGTGGAGAGTGAACTCTAGCCTAAGGGGCTAGAGTTCACTCTCGTGAGATCTGAGCATTGCCGTGGCAACGCTCCGACCTCGCGAGAGGATACCCGGCGGAGCTGCTGGCTGAGCTCCCCGGGTCCTCTCCTGCCTCCCTCCATACTGCGGGTCTCAATACATAGGCGTGCCGCGGGGATTAGGGTGTGCCCAGGCACACCCCATGCGCACACCTATGACCTCTAATGGCTGTCTTGAGTGACTGCCACTAGAGTTATTACTAGGCAGCAATGTAAACAATGCCTTTTTTCTGTATAAACCATAACAACTATATTTATCTATATTTGTTCTGGTGACTATAGTGTCTCTTTAAGTTTGCCTCTGATAGATTATTCCTCTGTGCTGCTATATGCATGTTTTCTATGTGTACCATTTTTAAAGTTGATAGTCTTCAGTGCGCTCGGTGGTGTAGTAGAGAGTATGGAGAGCCCTGTTGCAAGAATTTTTGTTGGGGCACCCCTATCACAAGGATGGGAAAAAAGGTAGTTTGAATGTATGTATGTTTTTGTACAAGGTATGAGTGTGTAAATGTAGAGGTGTATTTGCGTGCAGTGGTTTGTCTTTGAATTTAGGGGTGTGTCTGTATGTAGTGTTCATGTTTGAATGCAGGTGTATATTTGTGTATAGTGTTGGAGTTTGAATGCTGAGATGTATACCCATATACATATACACTGCCCTGCACATATACAGACACATAGATGCAGATGCACAGAGTGACACACATAGAGAAGACATACACACACAGATCACATTACATAATTTTAGCCACCCTCCTACTTTTATACCTTTTTGGTGCAGGAGTGTGGCTAAAGAACAGATCCAGAGAGAGAGAGAGAGGAGTCAATAGGAGAAAGGTAAGTTTGGCAGGACAGTGCCGCTTTAATCTGGCCAACTACAAGGCCACTCTATCGGAGGGCTATGCAGATACCTAAATTGATCATCTGGTCACTATGCTTTTGTTTCTAAGCGTAAATAATAACAATAATATTACAGTGCAGACAGTCTCTTGTGTTTTTGACTCGGTGTATGTTTGCTTTAAACGTCACACACTAATCTCCAACTGAGCTTCTCGGGTCCTGAACGCTGACAGAAACCCCGGGCTGTGTGAGTCACGCGAGGTTTGTTATCGCGGGATTTGTAGTTCCGGTCCGAGCATTACACGGTGAGAACACGTCATGGGGAGGGAGCTGTGCCTGGAGCTGTCACATTACATACGGCGCTGCTGTGAGAAGGGTTAATAGTGTGCATTGACTCACCAGTGGCTTCGTGGCTGTCCGCGGGGAGCATGGATAAGCTGCGGAGGGTGCTGAGCGGCCAGGAGGACGAGGAGCAGGGGCTGACATCGCAGGTAACCGCCGTCATGTCTGACAGTAGTTCACAGAGTTTCCGCTCTGGTGTTTATCACCTCTCCTCTCTCTCCGGGGCTTTACATAGTGCGGATTCAGTGTGTGCAGAGCGCTGTGCACAGCCCTGGGGCTTCAGTCACACCGTGTCATTCTATAGCTGGAGCACGATTCGCCTGAATGACTGACTAGGAGGCATTCCTTAACTTGTGTTTGTTAGAATGTCATGATGTATTCTGTGTGTGACAGTATAACTCAGTGTATGTGTGTGTGTGTGTGTGTGTGTGTGTGTATATATATATTTTTAATGACTGCTATCAGTGAAGTACTAGTTCCAGACGCCAGCGGTATGGAGTTCTCAGGGTGGGAGTTTACACATAAAAACTACTTTTTGCACTCACTGCTCCACTTCCTCTGATTACTGATTATCTCAATAAACAGGCAGTCCAAAGGAACTGAGGGCCTCTGGGCTCATGACTCCTACTGTCTGCCTTTGGGAGGAAAGAAAGGTCAGCTGTGACCTTAAAGCACCATCATCACTACAGCCAACTGCAAGGATTATGGTGCCATCCATGGTAAGATGGCAAAACTATTTGTCAAGGTTTGACAACTTGCCTGGTTCCCACCTGTTGCCGCCATGCCACATCTAGTGTTTTTAACAGAAGAGGTCGGATGTCAGTCATTGGCTGAGTGTGTCAATTGCCAATCCCCCAATGATTTCAGTCCTGCGTTTGGCCCTACTTTGCTGTGATAAGTTTCTTCTGCTGGACTATAGCAGGTAAATTGTCAAGCCATGCTGGAGCAGTGCCAGGACAATCCTGGTACATAAATAATGTAAAAACAATAAAAGAAAAAAACAAATTACGTTTGTAATGATAAAATATCTACACTTGCACAGCATAGGACAATTTCTGAAAGACTCTTCTAACTAGGAAGAAGCTCTGACAAAATGTATACTCTCATTATGACCTATGGGTTCTTCCTTTTTTTTTTTTTTTTTTTAGTTCCATAAAGCATTGTCCTAAAGAAATTTATGGGAGAAGTAGTTTAGCCTCCTAGGGCTATTACTTGTTTATTTATAGCACGTGTTACAGTTTTGTAAGCAGAACTGTCTGCAGTGATTTTCTTGAATGTCTCAGGCTCGGTGGAGAGTAGAGGTCTGTCTTTGTAGGACGTGCATGCTGCAAGCACAAGACAAAACTGATTAAAATAACTTCTCATGTATCAAGGTTGCAGGTACAAAGCTGCAGCAATTTTTTTTTCAAGTTATAAGCCAGCATAGCAGAAAAAGTTAATAGTTGTCCTTTGCAGTTGTGAAATGCTGACCAACTACGCTTTATGAGCTTAAACCACTTACCCGGGACATCCATGGTACATTTCTTGTGGTCCTTTGCAGTTCAAGGTTTAAAGGATCACTATAGGGTCAGGAACAAAAACCTGACCCTATAGTGTATTCCTGACCCTATAGTGTTAAAACCACCATCTAGCCCTCCTGGGCCCCTCATGCATCCATAGATATTGCTAAATCTTACTGTATTCAAGCCTGAAGCTGTAACTCTGCTTGTTTTTCTGAGGCAAACAGCATGCAATCTGCTGACATCATCAGAAGTGGTGGCCTGATCCAATCACAATGCTTCCCCATAGGATTGTCTGAGACTGACAAAGAGGCAGATCAGGGGTAGAGCCAGCACAATTCAAACACAGCCCTGACCAATCAGCATCTCCTCATAGAGATGAATTGAATCAATGAATCTCTATGAGGAAAGTTCAGTGTCTGCATGCAGAGGGAGGAGATACTGAATGTTTGGATGCATTTTAGACAGCCATGACCCAGGAAGGATCTCTGACAGCTATCTGAGGAGTGGCCAGTGAAGCTATCACTAGGCTGTAATGTAAACACTGCATTTTCTCTGAAAAGACAGTGTTTACAGCAAAAAGCCTGAAGGTAATGATTCTACTAACCAGAACAAATTCAATAAGCTGCAGTTGTTCTGGTGACTATAGTGTTTCTTTAAATAAGTCCTGCAAAGAGTGAGGTATGTATGCATGTGTGTGTAACTTGGCTCTCTGCAATCAAGCTATGCCAAAGCTTGACAAATTTCCCTAGATTCTAGGAACTAGGTCCAAGAGTTAAGACACGGCTTTGTAAACTAGCAAAACTTTAATTTCAACAACAAAAATACATATTCAATATGGGGTATGTCCAGTCTTTTAGTAGCCACTTGGTCACAAACACTGGCCAAAGTTAGAGTGATATTTGTTTGTGTGGGAAAAATAAAAAAAAGAATATGAACGCTAACTTTGGCCAGGGTTTGTGACCAAGTGGTTACTAAAAAAAGACTGGACATACCCAATTTGCAATACCTTGGGTTATCTACTTTTGCAAATGGTATCTCTCACTCCTGGGCTAACATACGCTCTCAAAGGCAACATAACCAATCTAGCAAATTTCAATGTGAAAAAAACAGAAAATCAAGCCTTCTACTTGACCCTGTAACTTTCAAAAACACTATAAAACCTATTCATGGGGGGTACTGTTATACTCGGGAGACTTCGCTGAACGCAAATATGAGTGTTTCAAAACCATAAAATGTATTACAACAATATCATTAAAGTGCCATTTGTGTGTGAAAAATGCAAAAAACTTCACTTTCACTGACAATATCATCGTTGTGATATGTTTTACTGTTTTGAAACACTAATATTTGTGTTCAGCGAAGTCTCCCGAGTAAAACAGTACCCCCATGTACAGGTTTTAGAGTTTCTTGGAGTGTCACACGTGCCATAGGTTCGCCATCACTGCACTAGATGGACCTGGGACCCAGACCACTTCATTGAGCTGAAGTGGTCTGGGTGCCTATAGTGGTCCTTTAAGGTCTTGTGATGTCACTAGGCATATTGAATTACTTACATTCTGGCTACATAGAAAAAAAAAGAAAATGAGGTAGATGCAGTACCATTAAGGGTAAACATTAATTCCTTGCTCCAGTGCTATGTGTAATAGTGTTCCATGTCCGTACTAAAAAAATTTCATCTGGAGTAAGTGTTTCCGTTCTTTTAAATTTATCAAAGGCTAAGAATTCTTAAAAGATGGCAGGTCATTGGTCATAATTTGGATAAGCAGTAAAGAGACCAAAGGTGTTTTTTGTTTTTTTTTGTTTTTTTTAAAGTGTAATACTGTCAAACATATACTGGTGTCCTAGGTCTGTAGTTTTTCTGACCGTAAACTGAATTACCTCTGTATGTGCAGTGTTTCTTAGCAAAATGCTG